TGCGCTCACTCCGGGGCATTTCTTAATAGGCAGTGCGATAACCGCGGTACCAGCCCCCTCGCTACTGGAAATTAAAGAGACCCGTCTTACGCGATGGCAATTGATTAACCAAATGTGGGAAGTCATATGGAAAGCATGGTCCAATGACTATCTCCATGGTTTGCAACACCGCTCGAAATCTAGCCAGAGTCGGACGAGTCGTATTATTACGCGATCCCCTCGCACCACCTTGTCGATGGGAGCTCGGCCGCATCGTCAAATGCCACGCCGGCGAGGACGGACTTACCCGCGTTGTCACTGTCAAGACAGCTCGGTCTTCGTATCAACGACCAATCGTAAAGCTCTGCTTCCTACCGGTCGATCTCGCGGAAGCGACCAACACGACTTCGTCAACCGAAGCATCCCACAACGGGGATCATTAGCTGTAAATAGATTGTAAGGAATTTTCGTAATCGTCGATCATAATTACTCGTCGTCATAATTATGTACCATGTATTATCGTCCGTTTGTCTCTTTTACGTCATTACGCGTATCCGTCAGCGTATCACTTGGCCAATCAAGGTCGGTTAGATAAAACTCATTTCGACACCGTCGTAGGACGGCGCGGCGGGCGGCTATCATACGGAACCTCTTCATTCGGATCTACGATCCGAGGCGGGCGGTATGTCGCGGAATCGCCGAAGCACCATCGCGACAAAAAACATATGAGTGTCCTCCTTGCTGGTCACGTGATCGTTAGGCCCGATTTGGCTTGTCATGATCACGTACCGATCATGACCATGTGGCGCTGCCAGCGAACGTTCCCATTGGTCAGGTGTCGTTCGAGAACCGCCGCGGCGTGCTCGAATTTAAAAAGTCGCTTAAAAAACGAAACCCGTCTGTCTATCGCTCTTGACTTCTCGCGGCGTTCAGTTCTGTTGCACATCAACTCTCGTCGGAATTCTCTTTCCGCGCAGATTGCAACCGATCCGCCCAGTCGTTACGATTTTCTCGTTGTTCGACTCTCAAAAGTCGATATTCTCTGCGCCGGTTCAAATTCTCTTTTGTTACTGCGTAATCGTGTAAACTTCTCTTTTGTTACTGCGTAATCGTGCAAATTCCGAATATTAGTTTGTCGAAACATTACGAATAATTAATAAAGTATTTATTTGTGTGAA